ACAGACTGAATGTATCCATTATCCCTTTTGAAGACCTCCTTAGTAGCTGATTTAAACTCACGTATACATTCCACTGTACAATCTTAAATAGATCAATTACAAAAACAACCACAATAACCGTAAGAATTTGACTAGATTTTTGAAAGGGAAATCACAAGACGGTTATTCATTTGTATTTGTTTTGAAGTGGTTGTATATCTGGTTGCTTATAATGATACTGTTTTCTTAAATTCTTGACTATTTCTTTCCAAGCCTATTATTTTATGTAAATACTGTTCTGTCAATTGATGATCTTTAACAACACTTGCTTAGGACTTTAGGCTACTCTCCTGCCTGTGAGGAACTCCACAATAAGCGATCTCTGCAGAGAAAAAAATTCTGAAAATCATAAGGCCTGGTCTGGACTTGTTCACTTAAACTGTTGTGATTTTGTTCTTAACTGTGAATCAACACATTAAATCAAATCCTCTTTCATAATTTCAAGAACAGAAATCATTACACTGGTTTCTAAGTGAATCACAGTTTCTCCTATAAAAACCCCTTATTATAACTCAATTTATATTTTAATATTAAAATAAATATGATCACTAAGTAGATGTAGCATTACTGTCCTGGTTTGCAAAGACCAGCTGTATTTTGTACATGTATCGTTGGCCCAATTTTAAACTGCTGTAAGTTGGCATTAGCCTACTGGATCAGACAGTTGAGATCTGTCTTGATAATTTGATTTTTGTAAGCTATTTCTGCTATATTTAAAGTATTTTTAAGTTTCTGTTGCCATGCCAAAAAGTAAGAGGCTTCCTGCTTCCCGCTTCCCTAGATACTTTTTAGGTGTTATTTAGATCATGTCACTCAGAAATAAAAATTATCCATGGTATTTCTTCTGCATTGGCACAGATTTATTTTTTCTCTAACTGGAAGCAGCTGAAACAGTATCGAAAATGCAGTGGGAGTCACAGGAAAGAAGTGCTACAGAATGACCAGGCACATACATTTTTCATAAAATCTCTCAACTAGTCCTTCAAGCCTTACAAAGTCAGGGTTCAGCTGAATATCAGTTTGTCTCCTCCTTTTAAGCTCAGGTGTATGTTTTCATTTGTAAGTAATGAAATCATAGCACTGTTTTTTCCAACTAGTGATAAATTTCAGACGTTTCAGGTAGAAATGCAAACAGATGGACTAGCCTGATGTCTTAGCAGTGGTGTATCCTGCTATGCAAGCTCTTCTCTCAGGGTGAAATTCAGGCCTCTGCAGAGGGACCAGGCTAGCGAGTATCACTCAGCCTTCAGTTAAACCAAGGACGTAAGCCTTTTTCTGACTCACTGCACAGCAGGCTACATTTCATTCTGTTACCTGGGTTCACCTCCTTCTCCAAAACTAACTTGCATTTAAAAGTATGTTATCCTGAGCAGTCCCACCAAGGACAGAGCATCAGACAGATGGCAGCCTGGCCCTGGGAGATTAGGGTATAACTGGAGAGAGAAAAGACAAAGAAATGAAGATGAAAATGCTACAAGGGAAGAACTGACTATTAAAGGTCTGTGTGGTACCTTGCACAATGGGCCCTTGATCTTTTTTCCAGTATAGATATTACAGGCACGTGACAATTTTCTAACATTCTGCACAAATTCTGTCTGATGCAGGTATTGTTCATAGCATTGTTGCTTTCTTTAACATTAATCCTTCCTTGTGTTATATATCTTCTTTCTTTGTGTCCCTTTTTATGTTCAAGTTTTGAAGAACACCTTGAACTATAACTGAGGCTCATTCCAGATCTCTAGAGCCTGTCCATACTCTTAACGAAATAAAATGCTGTTGGTGAGATATGTGAAATGAATTGGAATAATTTAGTCTCCCTAGTGCATGTGTGTATGTTTCAGTAGACATTTACATTTTCCCCAAAAGGCATTTTTTTCTAAAAAAGATGTTTATTCATAGGGGTTGCACTGGGAACTATGCACCCTATGCTCTGCTAGCAACTACCTTTTGATGAACACATAATTCACATAAACTATATTCTTATTCTTTGAGCAAATCTGATGTAATAGACAATAAACCCCTGTTGTTTAGACAGCCTGTTTAACCTTGGTACTTGGTTTCATGGGCCATTAGGTTCCTAGGTAATGATTGCAATTCTTCATCTACTAGCACTCATGATGTTGTAAATACAGTTGAGTTAATAAGTCAAAATTTCCCCCTTTTTTCATTCTCTTCTAAACACTTGGTACAGAAAAGTGATGGCTCTTTGCTGGATCTGTATGTAGCATTGTGTCATTTCTCTTTTGCATGTACTTTAGCACAGCATATGAGTAGAGGGGCACTGGAAGGGCCATTAGTAAGTGTTTAATTATTAACATAATCAGACTCTTTAATTCTTTAAAAAAATCCAGTGAAACAAATAAAAAACCTACAACAATGGGTTAAGAAAATTGATCTTGCTATATGGTAAATTTACTTTCATTGCAAGTATGTGAAAGCTGCTTCGCCTTTCTGATATGGAATCTTAAAACTGAAATGAAGCACACTTTGGAAGAAGGTGGCAATTTTGTTTAATCAATCTTGTTTTGTTTTGCCTGGGATTGGGAACCTAGATTTATCTAGAGATAATGTAATCTATAGCTTGCATATATATGTTTTAAAAGTAATAACTTCTATCAGCCTTATGTGTCCCAGTTAGTCAGCCCTGGTACAGATTTATTCAGTTATGACAGGTGAAAAGAAATTGTAATACACTTAAATTATTATTATCCTCTCTTTTGTTATGGGTATTTCCAAGAATAACTACTTTATTTAGATATCTAAATATCAGTCCTGAAATGAGCTGTTCAAACAACATTCTTGCTAATTCCTGTGTCTATAAAAAAATGGAGCTTCATGAGATCACAGAGTTGACAGTGGACACTTGTGCCTCTAGAAAATTATACCAATTATATCTGAGACAGGCAGCAACCTTTTTGTGTGCTCATGAGGTCCCTTCTCTCTTTTTATTCAAACCTTTGCATAATCTGAATCTTCAGCATAGCATGTCTTCCAAAAAGCTAGAACATGCTTATGTGCTAAGAAATTTAGTCAATAACGTGAAAGATAAACACTGAGTGGGTCTTTCTGTAGTAGATTACAATGCACTGGTGGATCTAAATTCCTAGTCCTGAATTATCAGTCTAACAAATATAATCAACATTCAATGAAGTTATACTTCATACCACCTTTTGAAAAGAAAATTCTGGTGCACACTAGAGCTTCTTGCAGTGAGATACTGCTTAAGCAATATAGTCTTTTAAAAGCACATATTATCAGATAATTATTCATGTTAAGCATCCTGAAGTGAGGCCAAAGGCACTCGATGTCTAAACAAGGTCAATTTCGGATAATATTCCCTATTAACCATACAAGAGAGCTGCATAATAGCTCTGCCTATTAGCTGCCAACACAATAAAGATTCACCTGCCTCCTTTGCCTGTAACCCAAGGAGAGAACAGACTGACAAAGATGGGAAATGGTGATCTGGTTATATCACTACGTATATAAACTATCCCACATATAGAACTGTTATAATAAATATAAATTCCCACTTACAGAACAACTTTTTCCTAGGGGTGTAGTTCACAACAGGATGTATTACAGGAAAATTAGTCTCAGTTATTTACAGGAAATTCAGATGCTGAAGAATGGTTTTGTACACCATATCATGACTGAATAATGGGGAGAATAAACAGCAGGACAAATTTTATCCTATTATTCGTGTTATTAACATCTCGAGCAAAACAAAATTTTGAAAGGGCATTTCTATCCTATAACTGACTGCTAACAGTAGTTGGAGTTACAGGTACCCCTATATAGGGGCTTCCAACACTACACCTGTGCCTAAACTTTTCCTGTCAATTTTGTGATTTTGCAGTCACATTCTCATATATATATATATTTTTTTTAAGCATATATATGAATGAGAGAGTTTAATTATGTCCCCAGCTGTTACAACCACAAAAGAAAGAGATGTTTCAGTACCGTTATATGACAGAAAAGATAAAACTAAATAAATATAAAAAAATGCTCATGAAAAGCTTAATTTAAGCAGCATCCCACCCCAAAGTAATGTCTTGTTTTGGGTTTTGAGAAACATGCTTGCTTTTTTTTTTTTTTTTTTGGTGGGAAAGAGAGGCAAAGAGTGCAAAAAGTTCTTTGTTATTTCAGCTAGGACATCATGGCAAACTTCTGAACACATCCACAATCCATCACCATGGGATAAATTATTCTCAAGAACAAGCCACCCTAGAATTGACTGTGCCAGTGATACTTGTTTTTTTACTTCAAGACAGACCTGAAATATGGTGATATTGTCCTGGAGTGACCATGTATGTGAACACTGAATTATTAGTTGTGTTGATTGCACTTTTTGGAGTATATTCTCATAAAAGGAGTTGGTGATCTGTCATACTGATTATTTTAGTTTTAAGCTGCTAAAAACATCTGCAGCCTATTACCCTGGGCCACAGCCAATAGGTGGCACATTACTTGCTACATATGTACCACTGAGGAAAAATTGAATGACTTAGGTACTCATTGAGTCAAAAAAAAAAAACCCAAACCAAAAAATGCTTCTCTGACATTTTTTCCCTGGGCTTTAGAAACTACAAGAAGTCATGAAGGAGATCTGTAAAAGATCATATTTAATTTACTTTCACCATTATGCAAAGTGTTGTGGTTTAAGCCTAGAGGGCATCTAAGTACAGCAGCCACTTGCTCACTGCTTCCCCTAAGGTAAGAGGAGGAGAAAATGCAACAAATGGCTTGGAGACCAAGACAAGGACAGAGAGCGATGACTTGCCAATTATGATCACAAACCAAAGACAGATTTGATTGGGAAAGAAAATGAACATCAATTTAATTTGAACACCACCAACACTATTTTACCAATCAGAGTAGGACAGTAAGAAATACAACCACATCTTGAAAACAGCTTCCCTCCACCCCTCACTTATTACCAGGCTCAGCTTTGCTACCCAGTGGCACAGGGATGCTGGGAATTGGGGTTGCAGTCAGTTATCACCTGTTGTGTCTGCAACTCCTTCCTCAGGGGGAGGACTCCTCATGCTCTTCCCCTGCTCCATCGTGGGGTCCCTTCCACAGGAGATAGTCCTCCATGAACCTTCTCTGATGTGAGTCCTTCCCATGGGCTGCAGCTCTTCATGAACTGCTCCAGTGTGGGTCCCTGCCAGAGGCTGAAGTCCTCCCAGCAACAGACTGCTCTAGCATGGGCTTCCTTCGGTCCCAGCTTTCTTCAGGTGCAGCCACCTGATCTGGCATGGGGTCCTCCATGGGCTGCAGATGGGCATCTGCTCCACCACTGACTTCCATGAGCTTCAGGGGTCAGCCTGCCCTCTCAGCATGGGCTGTAGGGGAGTGCCTGCTCCAGAGAACTTCCACACCCCTTCCCCCCACCCTCCTTTCTTCCACTGACCTAGGTGTTTACACAGGTATCTCCCTCACCATCATTAATTAGCTCAGCCTTGGCCAGAGGTGGGTATGACTTAGAGCCGGGAAAGCTTCAAGAAACTTCTCACAGGAGCCAGCTCTATAGCTGCCTCTCATGCTACCAAAGTCCCGCCACATGCAAACCCAACACAAAAGATGCTGTGTTTTCAGAGCAGCTCATCAGTCTCCAGAGAGAGGTTAAACAAAGAGGAAACTTACCTCTGACATCTAAGCCAAACAGTTTAGATTTTAGACCATGACACTTAACTTAGACCAGTACACTTAACAAGATTAATATGCAGAGTCTCCTCCCAGGGCTATTCAAAGTGGAGGAAGAAAAGGGTGAAGGAGGAAATGAACTAAAATCATTGGGGCCTTCAAGAATGAAAGGCAAGAATTCCAAGCAAGTAAGTATTTCTTAGCATGTTAATCCACTTTTAAAACTAGTGAAATTACATATTTATTAGCAATATCAGAAAATTTTTTGGAAAGGACTTAGGGATTTCCCCTCTCCCAGCAGCTGGAAGTAATTTTCTTCCTTAGTGCATCTTAAAGCATGCTTTGAATTCAGGGCAATCAATAATAAGAAACTATGGTTGACAAAAACCCCATATTTCCATGCCTGGTCCTAGACAGTGTTTTTCAAACAACTTAGCCATCTTCCGTAATTACTATTATATATTGATTTCTAAAGCACTCTCTGAGTATAGCAGTGCACTTGAGCAGAGTGAACATCAGGCAGGACAAACAGCATGAAATAAATAAAAAATAAAGGAAAAAGAAATATTTGCAAAAACTGACCACAGATGAGAATAGAACACACAGCATAAAGATCAAATGGATGGGAAACACACTGCCTTTGAGGCAGAGGTATGAGCATTAGCCTGGATATGATACACATGGGATAAAAGGCAAAGGATCCAGCTCATAGTAGAATACTTGGGCTGAAGTTTAACAAAATGAGGAAGGTAAGACAAAGACCAGCTGTACTAAGTCTAATACTAATACTTTAGTTCTGAAATCTATGGGGAACAGTCATAAGTCCAAAATTCATGGTATGTGTCTTCATGTTGGGAATGAGCCTGGTGAAAGCATCCATATACTGTAAAAACATATAAAATGTCCTCCTGCGTCAGACCAATAGTCTGCCTAATCCAGGAGTCTGTCTCCAACAAACAGCAAGAGGGGTTTGTTTTCCTGTCGTTTTTCTCTAGCATTCACAATTGTTATATTAGGGATATTTGAGAAAGCTGTACTCCCTAAGCCTTTTCATGACTTCTTATAGACTTGCTGTCTATGAATTAATCTAATCCTTTTCTGAACCTACTGATAAAAAATATCTGCTTCTGCAACCCCCTGTGGCAGTAAGTTCCAGGAAATCCCTCTTTTCTCTGCAAAAAAAAAAGAAAGTACTTAATTTGATGGTTTAAACCAATCTTTTATTATTTTCATTGAGTGTCCCCTTAATTCTGGTATTACGCGTTTCAGTGAGCAAGAGCCCCATCTTCATTTCCAAACCTAAAGTTGGGAATTCAATCTTTACAGCAAAAAGAAAAAAACAAGACCCTCCTCTACTTCATCACTTTGGATAAGATGGACATCTGAGAAAAAGACTGTGGCCACTCACAAGAAGTTAATAAGAGAAGCACTTTCAGGGGCTCCAGAGTTTATAACTAAAAGGCATCTAATGTAGCTGAAAAGGGATTGTCAATATAATAGCCAAGTAAAACTTGGCACTTCTTCCCAGTTTGGGAGGCAAGCTAGGTTGAATATGGACCATGAGCCTTAAGTAAAGAACAGACACAGCACAAGTGATGTGATGAGATTCAGTCTTGGGCTTTCAGTTGGAAAAAGCAGCAAATAGTGAAACCACACAGGCAAGTGAGACCTTTCAATACTGCCATGTAAGAACCAAATATTGTAATATATGAAGAAACTGTGGCCATAAAAGGCACAAGTAACCATCATTCCCATGTTTGAATGTTGTAGTGTCACCATAGAATCAGAACGGTTTGGGAGGGAAGGGACCTTAAAGACCATCTAGTTCCAACCCCGCTACCAGGAGCAAGGGACACCTTCCACCAGCCCAGGTTGCTCAAAGCCCCGTCCAACCTGGCCTTGAACACTGCCAGGGAGGGGGCAGCCACAGCTTCTCTGGGCAACCTGTGCCAGTGTCTCACCACCCTCGCAGTGGGATTACATCTAATCTAAATCAACATTCTTTCAGTTTAAAACTGCTAACCGTTGTCCTATCCCTACATTCCCTGCTAAAGAGTCCCTCCCCATCTTTCCTCTAGGCCCCCTTTAAGTGCTGGAAAGCCACTTCTCCAGGGAGAGAAACTCAAACTCTCTCTCTGTCCTCACAAGGGGAGGTGCTCCAGACCCCTGATCATCTTGGTGGCCTCCTCTGGACCTGCTTGAGCAGGTCCATGTCTTTCTTACACTGGGGCCCCAGATCTTCATTCCACATGGAGTTTCACTAGTGAGGAGTAGAGAGGGAGAATCACCTCCCTCGACCTGCTTCCCATCCTTCTCTTGATGCAGCTCAGGATGCCCTGTTCTGAGATACCCATGTGTGGGAGGGCAGGCTGCCACTCTGAGGAACGATGTCATGCATTTTGGTATGTGCCTAATTATCTATGGTTCAGTTGTGCTAGCTTAATCCAGAAATACATTTTACCTCCTCTTTAATCTCATTTTGGATATATAACAATATTTTTGAGCTGATTACCAGTACTTTTATAAGGCTTAGCAACTCATGTGATGAATGTCCTCCCATGCATGTAGATAAGACAGCAAACAGTCTCTTACAGGGTTTGAACTAAATCCTGCCCCACATTCTACTTGTGAGATCTGAGTCATGTAGATTGAATTCTTCTGGTGATCAGTGCCCACTGACAGAAAGGAGGGGCAGGTGAGATGAAGCAGGACATCAGCTTTCAGTTCAGTCATACAAAGTAGGTCCCACCTCAGAGAGAGAAAATGGGTGTTTATTTCATTACAACTATCTCAACTCACCACTAGGCCACCTCCTGATGCATTTTATATCCTAAATTATGAAGGAAAATGTTGATCTTGGATTTTTTGCAAGGGTAGAATTTTCTGCAAGGGCAGAGCATTGCCTTTCAGTGTGAGAGAGTACCAGATATTTTGTCAATATAAACCAGGCAAAGTAGTACTTCTTTATGTCTTTTGGCTTTGTTCAACTTTATAACTAAACTAGCTCTTTTTTCAAAACAGGTCAGTGTGTGATTAGGTAGTTGACAGTACATTTATGTTGGCAGGAAAGTTTGTACATAATCACATCTGGTTTATTTTATTAGTGAGTAATTTCTTCAAAATATTCCTGATCCAATTATGTAATTTCTTACAGATGCTGTTTTATAACCATGGGTCTGATTCACCACTGCATCACTCCTTTTTAATACCAGTACCAGTCTAGCTGTTGGATTTTCAGAAGCGTTGTATCGGCATAAATCTATGACAACGGTGTTGTGAATCAGGCCAAAAGAAGGGCATGTATTCCAGGCTGAAAAATTATTTGAAGGAAACTAATTGTTAGAAACCCTGACAAGCCCATAGTACATCTATATGATTTTCTATTAGCTCTTGCTCAGTGGAAGTGCTCCCCAGGTCCTGCAGCTTTGCAGTCTCACTGAAGCTACAGCTGCAATTCCCAGCACATGAGTTTCTCCCACCCACATCCCCTCCAACTTGTCTCACTTTTAGCCTTTTGCCAGGAAGGGCTGAAAGAATGAATCTTAATAATTTTATTTTTTTTTTAAAAGGTTGTGCAAACTCAGAATAACCATGCTGAACTACTTCAGTTGAGGGTCAGGCCTTTCCCCAAATTTTTTATAACTACAGTGCCCAAAGCAAAATAATTTTGCTAGATACTACACAGGGCTGGCATCCTATCTTGTATTTGCAGATAGTACAGAGATGGTCTGGGATATCAGATTTCACTTATTAATATTTCAGCATGTGCTGTGGTGGTTGGGGGTCAGGAATCCCCTGCCTGATGTACCTGCAGGCTGAGAGGAGACCTCCACCCTGCTGGACACTTGAGCTTTTTCCCCTTAAACTGTAAGAACCAAAAACTGGCTGCATTGTGGGATGTGCTTGGAGAACACGAGATCATGTGTTAGATTACAAATCACTTTCCTTCTGTTGCCAATCTCTGCTGTAGAGAGATGGATTTAAAATGTGCCAACATGATCAATCAGATGTTTTTTAAAGAGTCTAAGACTGCAAGAACAGACAGAAGCAAGGAATCATTTATGTCTCAAGCAGCAGACAATGATTATAATGACATGGGGTTTTCTCCTGCTTACCAGATCTGTTGATAAGTTTGATTCACCTTTTTCTGATTCTAACACAAAGGGTTAGTAAATGCATTGCCACTCCAAGTCAAAACACTCTACTGAAAGCAGCATTTTCACTCAAGAAGAAAAAATAAAATCCTGTTGATCTGTGGTTTAAGCAGCATGTAATGCAAACAAAAATGTTGGTCTCTCTGTCCATTTTCTGCAATGTTCTTTATATCTTCACAGGATAAAATCCTGTGTTTCTAAATTTTCTAATAGCTTTCAGCTGCTGGACATGCCAAGAGGAAACCTTGCTACCTTCATTCCAGTCTTGGGAATCAAGAGTTGGTCCAGCTAATTACATGTTTCCTGTGCATAGCAATCAGTACTAGTTGGTGAAGGACAAGATACCTATTAAATAGCTT